GCGCAGGCCCATTGACATGCACTCGTGGTTGGGGATGGGGCTTGGCTTAGGGGGTGGGCAGAGCGGGAATCCTCAGTACACATGGCCAGCAGACAGATCGCCCACTACGGACAAGTCCCAAACCTGCCGCGGGCTAGTTACTGTCTACAGGTAAGGCACTTTTACTCTTTCAGGCCCCTCTTGATCTAGGGTGCGGCCCCATTTTGCCTCACAGTTACCGGTCTTCTCTCAGATTGCAGGCATGACCCTCGCTTTACCATGCTACTGACCAACTCGTACAGCCTCTTTGTGCTTCCACAGTGCGTCCCAACCGCTGCCGTGCACATCTTATCAGTTACCTCCTGCGTCACATCCTCTTTCCTAAGGGTTCCACTTAGCGCCGCCTGTCCCACAGTTTTTGTTGATTCTCGAGCCTGCTTCGTTGCCATCTTGACTTGTGAGCTGTACGACAGGAGAGGCTTGACAGGTAGGGCTTGGATATGGGGAGGTGCGTTGGAGTTCAAAACTCATTCTCATTTCGGGACCCCTGGTCTACAGGGAGTGGCCCCCCTGTAGTCTGCTCCACTGGCTCCTGACGTCAAGCTCCTACTCAGACCGAAGAACAGGCCAGCCTACACAGGCCAGCCTTACAGTGTTGGCCTTTCTTATTGCTATAGTATTGCTGTGCGGCTAGAAGCACCAGTCAATACGTACAGCCGTTGCCATCCTCTGCAACACAGCTGTTGCTAACAAGGGATCGTGCTGAAGCCAAAAATAAGTTGGCAAAAAACACGCGGGTCCCGGGACCATAGAGGTTCGGAGTGAACCGACAAAAAACCTGAGCGGCAACCCACTAACTGCCACCACTTGCACTTGTGTTCCCGATCACAACTTTAGACCTCGCCTCGGCGCAACTTGACTTCATACTGCGGATGGGAGGTGGAGGCAGCAGCGGTTCAGGGTGGGATGGACGAGGCGAAGAGGCAAAAGCAGTCTCGCACTTTGATCGCTATGTTACTCGCCGTGAGTCTCCTGTACTGTTTTCTTGTCACTTCACTGTACGCGTAGTTCGACCTCTCCTCATTCGGTTTCATTTTCCGATTGTGAATATCTCTCTCGGCGGATGGTACTAAGGTTGTCGGTTGTTCGTTCCCTCCTCCTCGCAGACCGCCTGGCTGGCGCATACTCTGTGCCCTCAGGACCCTGTTCTTTTCCTGTTCTAGCTGCATGCCTTAATCTGCGGGAGGGGAAGGAGGATGAGGAGGAGGAAGAGGAGGAGGGAGGAGGAGGAGGAGGAGGAGGAGGAGGAGGAGGAGGAGGAGGAGGAGGAGGAGGAGGAGGAGGAGGGGAGGAGGAGGAGGAGGAGGAGGAGGGAGGTGGAGGAGGAGGAGGAGGAGGAGGAGGAGGAGGAGGAGTAGGAGGAGAAGGAGGAGGAGGAGGAGGAGGAAGACGTGCCGTCCTTGTACTCGCGATGACGAGATCCGCGCCGATCCATGGCGTGCCGCCCTTCGCTCCGCGGCCCAAGCCTCCGACGCGCCCGCCTCGGGGAGCCCCTGGGGAACACGGGGCAAACGTCGAGCTGCGGCAGCGAGCCACTGCCGCGAGACCAGTCTCGGCGGCGAGCGAAGCCCTCCCCCTCGACGAGGCCCTCCCCCCTCGAGCGATCTTGGAGCCGTCTTCAGGCCTCCGAGGCCGATCGGAGGTGCCTTGCTAGCTTCGCAGCGCTCCCACCTTCGGCGGCGAGCGAGGGGGGAAGAGAGAAGGCGAAGGCCTTCTCAGAAGGCGGCGGGGCTTCTCAGACGCCATCGCGCCTGCTGAGGAGTTTTCTGCGTCTTCGGACAAGGCTTGGAAAACTTCCAAGCAGGCGGGAGGTCTTCCAGGCCCTCTGAGAAGGCCCGCCACTTCTCACTCCCCCCCCGGGCTCGCCGCCGGCAGTCAGCGGGAAATCGGATCGAATCGAAACTTACGCTGGACCAGGCTGCATCGGCACGGGGCCACAATCGGACCGGATCGGCTGCGCTGGGACGCACAACAACGCCCGTGCACGCATCGGGCCGAACCCGATCGTCGCACCAGCAGAACCGAAGCGGATCGGGCGGGGCGGAACCGGAATCGGTCGGACCGAGGTGGACCCCGACTTAGGTTTTCGGGCGACACCTCGGGTCTCTGGCGGCCGTTCGGGACGACGCGAGCACCCCCGGAACGCTCTCGGCGAGGCGCAGCTGCTTGAACGCATTCCGAGGCAGGACAGCCTGCAGGAACCGACGGAAACGTCCGAGGGCTCGACCGAAAACGGACCCTCTCCTCGGGGGCCTCGCGCGGAAAAAGGGGGCGGCCTGGGCGCGGGCGGGCGACGTTTTGGGCCCCGCGTGGCTGGCCTGGGCCTCCGAGGTCAGGAGCGCCCAACCCTGACCTTCCAGGAGGGCTAAAAAATAGCACCAGGACCTCGACATCTTAATTGCCGTCGAGGTTTTAGGCAGCCCAGATAGGTCTATAGGTCTGGAGGGCTATTTTTTAGCACCCTGGAAGGTCAGGGAAGAGGGGGGCGCCCAAGAGGGGGGGGGGGGGGGGGGGGGGGCGCAAATCATCGCCCGCGGCACGTGCGCGGCCCAAGGGGGGGCCGTGGACGCATCAGGAGCAGACGAGACGCCATGACGTCCGAGGAAGCATCACTGCCCCCGCCATGAGATCCGCCCCCCCCTGTCATCCCATCCCCCTCTCCTCTCGTGGCCGCCCCCGACGGGGGCATCCAGGGACTTCCGGGGGCGGATCCGCGGGCCAGGGTTCGGGGCGGCGGCAGGACCTGGCAGGCCACCCCTCACCCCTCCACGCCCCTCGGGCGCCACTGGGCCAGCAGCGGCGGGCAGGCTGCGCAGATGTGCCTCTCTGCCGCTTCCAGGTATAAGTCCGGCCTGTGCCTCTACAGGGGGAATAGTCAAAAGTAATCCAAAAATAGTCTGGGGACTATTTTTTACTCTGTTTGAGCATTTTAGGGGTATGTTTTGAATATTTTTCATTTTTCGCCCAAAATCCTCCTGTAGGGGGGGACAAGCCCGACCTCAAGGTAGGCGCTGCCCCGCAGCTGCCGACGCTTCGGCAGCACTGCTAGCGGCGCTTGCTCCAGAGATGCCTGCTTCGAGGTGGTTCTGTGCACTCTCGTCCGAGTCTTCGATTTCGCGTCCTCGTTCAAGCTCACACTCTCTCATCTGAGCTCCTGCACCGAATTCTTTTTGAGAGCTCTCACTTGTCAGCCCGACCCCGAAATCTCTCTACTGAGCTCCACATTTGCTCTCCTCGTGACTGTGCTTGTTTGAACTCCTCCATGATTATTCTCCCGTTTTTTCCGAAGCGAAACTATCGGTATCGGTGCTCTATCCGTGCACCTGGGGGAAACGTTGACGACGAATGTGACTGCACTGCAGCTTTGCTCGGTGTAAGCAAGAGCAGTCCTCTCGCAGGGCAGCGTCGCGCAGCGAGACCTCGCCCTCGGTGCTCGGTGCCCTCTTCATCCCCCCACCCGCCAACGCCAATCCATCCTCCCCCCCTCCCACCCGCCCCCCTCCTACTGCGACGGCCCTTTTTGCGTAGCGGCGCTCCATCTGCCAGCCCTCCGAACATGGTCCTGCCACGAGCAGCGAAAAAAGGCGGGCGCCGGATTCCTACGACAGGGCAACGTTCGCACTCCTCCGGTTTCCCCATCGTTGCGTCGCGACTTCCTCCCCGCCTCCCCCCTTCGCCCAAGGCTCGGTGGCGGACGCGCGCGGCAGCGGAGCCGGACGAAGTGCCCTGGGACAGGTGAGCGCAGCCAGAGCAGCGCCCTGGGTCGCGTGAATTATGCCCCTGGATAGCTTACGCGGCCGCCCGCCGTCGGGTACCCCAGCGAGGCGCCGCTGGCGGCGGCCGATTCCGTGCGGGGGGCAGGCGGCGCCCCCGGGCGCTGGCCACGCCGGAGAGAGGGGGCGGGGCCGGCGCGCGGGGGCCCGGGGCCGAGAGGAGGAGGGAGGCGTGAAGGATGAGCGGCGAGGGCGAGGAACGAGGAGCTGGAGCGCGAGCGGCGCGCTCTCCGCGCCCTCCGCGCCCCTCACGCGCCCGCGGACGCGAGCGGGAGGCTGGGCATGCTGTCCCAGAGCCTGCGGCTCTGCGGCGCCTTGGCGCCGAGGCCGAAGGCCAGGTGCCGCAGGCCCGGCCCCGCGTCCAGGGCCTCCAGCGGGACGCGCGGGCCGGCCAGCGCCTGCCAGCGCTCCGCGCCCAGGCCGCAGGCCGCGGCGGTGCCGCCGTGGCCGAGCGCCTCGCACCGGGGCAGCCCCTCCGTGGCGTCGGCGAAGCCGCTCGGGAACAGCACGCGCATGCCCGCGCGCCGAAGCAGCGGGGCGTCCTGCCGCTGCGGCGGCGTCGCGGAGCGGCACCCCGCGAGCGCCCGCGCGCGGCCCGCGCGGTCGCGCGGCCCGCCACGGGGGGCCGCGCGTGCCAGGGCCTCGGGCAGCGAGGCTCCCAGCGGGCGCCCGGGCAGCGCCGTCGTCGGCCTGGGCGCCCCCTGCCGGCCGCCCGAGCCCGAGGCAGCCCGCGGGGGCGCGCGGGCGGGGGCCTCGGGCAGCGAGCTGCCCGGCGCGGAGGCGCGCATCGCCGCCGGCGAATCCCCGCGGCGGGCGCGTCCGGGAGTCGGCCACGCGCAGGGGAGGAGGCCCCCGTGGGCAGGCGAGAGGTCACTCTTAGGCGCGGCCGAGCGCGGGGACGGGCGCCGGATTCCTGGCCCGGCCAGGCCGAGAAAAAAAAAGAGAGGTAAGCCAAAACGGCTTGAGCCGACATGGGTACGGAACCATGGATGTTCTCCCCTTGGCTGTTTCTTGGGGATCCTCCTTGCCGCTGCACCCCGACGCTCTTGGACTTGCTCCTTCCGTGAGCTGCTGGAAGAGATCCCCCCTCAATGGTAGCAGGAGAGGCCCTCTCCGAGCCTATCCATTCCATCTTTTTACATCTCGGAGTGCTGCATCGGCTGTTTGGGGTCCTGGAGCATCGTGCCATTAGCGAGTCTGGACCTGCGCAGCGCCGTCGAGGCTCACGTCTTCAACCTCGGGCATTACGCGAGGAGGCGAGCGCGAAACCCCGAACTCGGCGCTGACGCAAGCAAGAGCCAGGAGGGCGGCAACGACTTCAGAGAGGGGTCGTGCAGCGAATTCCAAGAGGCTCGAGCTCGAGAAGGAGAGGGGCGAGGAAGGAGGGATCTGGAATCTAGGTCGACGAGGGGGCAGCAGGGAAGAGGACACAGGCAGTTGGAATGCGCAGGAGAAAGGGCAGGGCCTGAATGAATAAAAAACTGAGTCGTGCATTGCCGAGCGCCTGCTCTGACGCCCTGGAGACGTCCGTCAAAATCTGCAGGGCGAAGTGACCGACGTGGGCAAAGAGTTGGAAAGCGCAACGTCCAGCAATCGTAGAAGGAACGAGGGGAGGCTACAGCGCGCGCGCACGCGCTGAGGATCGCATGGTACTGCTGCTCTTCATTTGCCTGGAACGCCGAATATGTACGGCGTCGGGCGGTCGGCGCAAATGCGCTCCGCACAAAGAAACAAATAGGCCTATGTTGCTCCCATCGTACTTAACGACCGCATCCCACGTCTCGTCCTTAACGACTTAATCGTACTTAACGCACTTAACGACTTAATCGTTGACGACGGTCGTACTTAACGACTTAATCGTACTTAACGTAGCACCCAGAGAACAATCTCGAAGCCATGTCTCACGAGTGTCGCCCCCCAGGGCCCCGCACGTGAAAACCCTGAGGCTTCCTTACCTTCTTGGCGCTCGAAATTCTCTCTGGTGATCAGGGCTAGAATTGAGTCGGGCCTGTCCCTCTACAGGAGGAATGCTCGAAAATAGTGAAACAATCGTCCGGGGACGATTTTTGTTGACTCCTTTTGAGTATTTTGGAATCTCTTTGGGGTGTTCTGGATTCTTCGCCCCAAATCCCCCTCTAGGGGGGCAGGCCCGACCTCAGGCCAGACGTAGGTTTATGTCGGGCGTGTCCCCTACAGGGGGACTTTCGACGACAAATAATAAGTACATCAAAAATGCCCCAAAAAGGCCTCACAATACCCACAAAATAGTCCTGAGACTATGTTTGGATTAGTTTCTTAATATTTTTGTTGGGGTATTTTTAATTCTTCGTCGAACATCCCCCCGCTAGGGTGGCAGGCCCGTTTTTGGGGTATGTTTTAATTTTTCGCCCAAAATCCCCAGTCTGTAGGGGGGCAGGCCCGACCTCCGGCCAGACGCTGGCGGGCACCTCCGGAGGCTGGGCGGGCGGCCCCCGCCCCGCTGCCGCGGGACCCCGCGCCCGACACGCGCGGGCAGGGCCGCAGCTAAGTCGGGCCTGCCCCCCTGCAGGGGGATTTTCTGCGATAAATTAACAAAATACCCCACAAATAATCAGAACAATAGTCCAACAATAGTCTGGAAACTATGTTGGGACATTTGTGTTTGCCTTTCTGGGGTATGTTTGGGGTATGTTTTATTTTTCGTCGACAATCCCCCTGCAGGGGGACACGCCCGACATAAAGCTAAAGGGGACCAGCGAAGACACACACACACACAAATCAGCCCAAATCCCAGGATCCCCCATCTTCTCCCGCATTTCCTGCGCTTTCGTCTTCCCCCCCCCGCTCCCCACCGTCTCCCATCCTTTGTCGCAGGGGTCGACGACTGATCGTGTCTGCATGTTCTGTCCCCTCCTGACAAAAGGCTGGCGCGGCCGAAGTGGGCACGGAAAAACTGGGTACGGCAGGCTCGCGTCGTGTCGACCCCGGCGTGGGTTCCCGACACCGAGGGGATCGATCCACCTGAAACGACGGGCCGTTTCAGAAATGCTGGATCGTCCGACTATGGGTCGATTCTGGGTCGCTGGCGGCGTTCAATGCCGAACGCCCCGGGTGGGGTTGCCGCCGGTCGACACGACCCGAACCTACCGTACGATACCCAACAGGGGATGTGGGAGGCAACTCCTGGGAGGTCGTCGTGAGAACTATGAGGGGCTACGCAGCTAGATGAAGGCGCAACCAGGCCGAAGTAGCCCATTAGGCCCAGGGTTCAGTCGCACTCAGCCAGAAGGGGCGGAATTAAGCGGGCCTATGTCACATGTCAGAATAGGCCTGCTTTCGACCACGGTTGCACCAGCGCCGATGATGAATTCAACCTTCCAGGAGTTGGATCCAAGCAACCGTTGCCCCAAATCGACACCGGCCGCCGCTGGTCCAGCGACCACTTCGTCTCGAGCGGGCAAAACGCTCGCGGCGACGCCGAATGCGTGTCCTACCCGGAAACGGGCAGGAACTGCTGTCGGTCTTCGTCCCTGTTCTTCCTGTACCGCTCCCAAAGATCCGACGATGTGACTGTTGCAATGCGTGGCCCCTGAGGCCAGGGATTCACTGACCCGTGTCAATCCAGACCCGGGTCAGTCAGGCTCTGCAAGATCCTGCATCATCCTGCAAGATCCTGAACCGCAGCCGGGGAAAGTCGCCCCTGGCTCTGCAGGATCCTGCAAACTCCGGCGCTCTGACGGACCCCCTTCTGCATTGACCCATGTCTCTTGAGCCCCCATGAGGTACCTGTACCATTCCCTGGGGGCATTTGTTCGTCCTGGATCCATGTGCCCCGGCCCGTAGTCGGAGGCCGAAACCGAGCAAGAGCGCCGGGACCGAAACCAAACAACCACCACGTCGTCGAAGCTCTGGGTTTCGGCCGCGCCGAACGTTGCATGAACAGAGGCCTCCCAGGTGGGGTCCGAGTAGCCTGACCTTCCAGGAGGGCAAAAAAATAGCACCAGGACCTCGATATCTTAATTGCTGTCGAGGTTTTAGGCAGCCCAGATAGGTCTATAGGTCTGGAGGGCTATTTTTTAGCACTCTGGAAGGTCAGGGTAGATGGGGTCGGAAGGTTGCGCCGCATCGCCGATGCATCGGCGACGTCGGTCGGCGGTGCACCGGCGACGCCGGCGTGGAGAACATCGGGCTCCACATCGAGCCGCATCGCCGATGCATCGGCGACGCGGCGCGATCCTCCGACCCCACTCAGGCCACATGCCCAGACATGCGATGTCGTCCGGATCTTTTCACTCTATATGGGGTCTCAGTCCCGACCCTTTCCCCGGAACCCGTTCCTTATCCTGGGCCGTTCTGGTGACGGTCCCGGAGCCCGGCGAGAGCCCTCTGCAGAGCCCCGAGCGGCCCAAAACCTCCCGCCCTGGCCTGGGAGGCCCCGAGGCCTGAGGCGAGCACGCCTGGGTGCTGTGCTCGGGAGGCGAGCACGTCTGGGACTGTCCTCTGGTGGCGAGCACGTCAGGAGGAGGAGGAGGAGGAGGAGGAGGAGGAGGAGGAGGAGGAGGAGCAGGAGCAGGAGCAGGAGGAGCAGGAGGAGGAGAGGGAGGAGAAAAAGGAGGAGGAGAAGGCGGAGGAGGAGGAGCAGAAGAGGGATGATGATGATGATGATGATGATGAGGAGGAGGAGGAGGAGGAGGAGGAGGAGGAGGAGGAGGAGGAGGAGGAATGTTCGGGAATGTTCGCTTAGAGGACGACGAAAGTCCATGCTTATTTGGCAATTCTACACGCCTCAGCATCACGGACCGCCTTCGGGGGGCCCGAGGGGTGGGGATACTTACCCGCGCTAGTTCGAGCTCAGTTATGTCTCCCTTTGGGCGTGGGGGCACATTCCTTAACCAACTGCCGAGCGTCGGTGGTGCAACTAAATCCGCATTTGCCACAAAACGTGAGGCAGTATTTGCTCCAATACTGCAACGAATGCGACGGGTGGAGGACCTCGCCGCTCACTCTCTGGGGTCCACGCAAAGGCTCGACCTCCCGAGAGTGCTTGCACGCGCACTTGGTCGCACTCGCTGGAAAAAACGACTCAAGATTCGAAAACAGAGAACACTGCGTGCAGTAAAACTTCGCACCCACCCGACACCATCGATGGTCGGAGTCCCTCAAAACACGCGCCAACTTAGGGAGGGGAACAGGACCGCAGCTGTTCGGCCGATCCACGGACCACGGATCCGACACAATCGCACACCCCAGGGCCCGGCGAGCGCGCCGTCGGATCAAGGCGGCCTCCGGATCCCTCCTGTCAGTAGGAGGGTCAAAAACAACAAAACTGGTCCACGCAATCTCAGCCATCGCCGACGCCATCGCGTCATCGCACTCGTTGCCGAACGCTCGGGATTTGTCGGCGTCGGATCGGAGCGTCGCCTCCTCTTGGTGGGAGGCAACCCACTCGAGCAGCACATCGTCAGGCTCTCTGGCCTGGGGTGCTGACGTTACCCTGGACCAGAAGTCGGCATTGGCTTCCCCAGCGCATTCAAGCCCGACCCTCTGGACCAGGTTGATAGGATCGGAAGATGGTCGGTGATAAAACGCAGTCGGCCTGGGAGGAGCTCCAGAGCCGAGGAGAGGGCAGTGATCTCCGCGCGAGACACCGTCTGCCTCCCCCGCTGGACGGTGGTTCCGAAATCCCAGGCCGGCTTCCAGCAGAGTCGGTCTGGCGCGAGCGCCACTACGCCAGCGCCAACCCTGCGACGCCGAGGGTCATCCGAAAATCAACCTCCCGAACCGTGCCCGAACACGGTAGCATAACCCTCGGCGTCGCGCGGGATGGAGTTGATGTCCCCAAAGCTCCTGGTCTCCAGGGGTCCGCCATTGAAACTGGGAATCGTTCCCCCTCTCCCTGGGACCACTCGGAGCCACAAACTTGGGGAGCTCTCGTGGTTCGCTCGACACTGATCGCATAAAACATGGGATGTCTTGAAATCTCCGTGGCAAGCGTTGGCCTCGCATGCCCAAATTCTGTGAGACAGCGTCTCTGGTGCCCTATGGCACCTTGGGCACAAGAGACTCGGAATTTCGTAGCCTGCCTCACTCAGACGCTCGCGCGTCCACTGGCCCCCCGTGACGACCACCACATTCAAAGCCCACTCGTCGCCCAGGTCGCTGGGGCCGAGCCTGGCCATCTATCTGCGCGCATGGTACATGTCCGCACCGCCGCCGAGGTCAGTGCAGTCCAGGTGATTCGCCGCTGACCTCCACGGCAAAGAGTCGATGGCCGCCTCGACGTCGTCCAGAATACCCGTAAAGTCGCCATGCAAATTGCTGAACTCGTCGTCCACGATTGAAGGAACCGACCAACAACACTGATCAGACCCCCACAACATCGGAGACCACAGGCGCAAGCCCATGTCATATAATGTCGCAATCGTAGCTCCAATCGGTACTTTCACCAGCCGCCATCTCCTCAATCCTGCGACCTGAAGCCGTAATCTGATCTTCTCCCAGGCTAGAGCGACACG